TTGAGCTTGAGGCCTGCTGTGCTGATGCAGTTTAGTCCAGACTGCAGGTTACTGTCATGCTCCTCAGAAGTATTCCCAAACACGATATCATCCAGATAGCACTGAACTCCATGTTGATTCTTCAGAATCAATGACATCATTTTTGGAAGGCACTTGGGTCAGATGCAAGACCGTATGGAACACATTTAAAATGAAATAGTTCCTCATGTGTAATAAATGCTGTGAGGTCTCTGCTATCTTCATGCAGCATAACCTGGTGGTACGTGCTCTGCAAATTAAGAGTAGAAAACATCTTTGCTCCACAGAATTCTGCAAATACTTCTTCTATGTGAGACAGAGGGTGGCTGTCAATCACAATTGCTTCACTTGGCTCCCTTAAGTCCACACAAAGGTAAATGCCTCCCTCCTTCTTCTGTGTCACTACTGTAGGTGAAACCCATTCTGAGGAGTCAATCTCTTCAATAATGTCTTTTTGAACAAGTTTTTTAAGTTCCTTTGAAACAGCCTCTCTGACTGAAAATGGTAAGCACCATAACTTCTGTCGTACAGGCATCACATTATGTCACATTTTAACTTTGTGCACAAATCCATAAGCACAGCCAAGTTTCTCCTCAACCTGGTCCTGGGTCCCAACTGAAACTGGTGTGTGTACTGCAAGAGTGCTTTGCTGAGGAAGAGCAATTCGTCCATTAACTATCTTGAGGTTTAAAGCAGTCAATAAATCTCTGCCAAGGATAGGAGTGCCTTTGTGGACAACATAGAACTCTGCAGTTACACAGCAATCACCAAAAGTCACTGTTGCTGGCAGGCAGCCATGTACTGGAATTTGTTTTTTCAAATAGCACACCAAGTGAAGTTTGGGTTCAGTAAGAGGCACATCTTTAAAGTATTGCAAATAGATGGAATCAGGTAATATAGATACTGCTGAGCCAGTGTCCAACATTAGCTGAATAGGATGGGATTTGCCTGACGGCGTGGCAGAAACATTTAGGCTGTGATATCATGTGATTTTGCGGAAAAACTTGCCGGCTGTCTACACTGGCCACATGAATTTCCAGGAAAGCACTGACGATCTCATGTAAAATCATCAGTGCTTTTCTGGAAATACTATGCTGCTCCTGTTCAGGCAAAAGTCTTTTTCCGAAAGACTTTTGCGCAAAAGGGCCAGTGTAGACAGCATAGTACTGTTTTCTGCAAAAAAGCCCCGATCGCGAAAATGGCGATCGGGGCTTTTTTGCGGAAAACCGCGTCTAGATTCGCCACAGATGCTTTTCCACAAAAAGTGCTTTTGTATGTTGTATCATGCAAGCAAGGTACTAACAAACTTCAATAGACTTTATTTACCAAAAGTGAAACCTCTTTACAAAGCTGCTGCTGCTCCCCTCTGTAGCTCCCACTCAGCCCTCCCCCCTCCTTCCTGTCTCCCGAGCCCCACACTCCCAACAGCCAGTCCTCCCAGTCCTAATAATTACAAGCAGCATCTAAAACACCACACTCCGTAATATTAAACCCGCATTCCACGCGGAATAACGCTCCTCTCAAAACTGCTCTATTGAAACAGCGGTAGTATGGACACTCCACGGCTGCTAATTCACAATAACTCCTCCCTGGGGCCATTCAAAATAATTACTTCCCGCTGCTTTCTGGGGCTCTACATCAAGGTAGCGCGTCTACATTAGGGGAGCCTGGCTCGGACCCATTTCGAGGCTTCCTTGTAGGATGAATGTACTATTTCGAAATCGTGATTTCAGGAGTTATTATTCCACTTATTTAAAATACCCTTGTAGTGTAGATGTAGCCTTTGATGCTGATGATGGGTGGGAGGGGGATCTGCTTTTATGGCAGAATTCGGGCTGTAGATATTTAAGGTGTTGCCCTTCCGATGAACGAATTAAGGCCCAGCCTTCATGCCGTTTATTTACAAGGTGCCGCACGGGTTTCAAACATCTGCCAGTGCCCATAAAGATGATCGACTCTTTGGAGGAGCTCCTGGAAAGGTCCCTGGGTTTACGTGACCTGGTGCTGTAAAGGCTGAGGGATCCCGTTCTCACCTAACAGACTGGAAAACCATTCCCAGAGTGTAAATATCAGTAGCTCCCAGTCAAGCTAGAAGGACATATCAAGTGGGGTGCTGCCTGCTCCGATGTAGAAAAAGGCATAGAGAGTATCTTTATATGGTTTGTGGATGATTCCAAGCTGGGAGGGGTGGCGATGGCTTTGGAGGATAGGATTAAAATCCAGAATGATCTGGACAAATGGGAGAAATGGTCTGAAGAAAACAGAAGGAACAAACAGCTGCACCCCTAGGAAGTGGGAAATGGAAGGGGAGCAGCAGAAAGGAAGAGGTGGGGGGATTCATAACGGACCACACGCTAAATATAAGTGCACCATGTAACACTATTGCAAAACAAGTGAACGTTGGTATGGGCACCAGGTACAGACTGTAAACCAAACGGGCAAACAACGCACGGAACAACACGCTAAGGGCCGTGGGGAAGTCTCTGTCACTACCCATGTGTAACTCAAGGTTGGGGGGTTCTGCAGGTCTGGTTCAAACCAGGATTAATCCTGGGCAGCCCTATAGCCTGGGTCAGACAGGAGGTCTCACTAGGCAGACCCTTCTGTCCCAGGAATCTCTAAGTCAATGAATGTAGCCTGTGTTAGAACGGCTAGGCTGAGCCCCAGAGAGGGGAAGGCACAGGTCTGCCAGAAGGGGGTGCACACAGCGAGACTGGTGATGGGCCCCAGGGGGAGCTAGCCCCGCTCTGTAGCAACGCTTTTCTCCACTAGGTCAGAGAGCTCTTTAGAATGTGGCATTTTCTCCCGACACTTCACACAAGTCCCCCATTGATCTTCCTTTCAATAAGCCGAGCAGACTGAGGGCTAGCTGCCGTCATTGCAGCTCCAACAAACTAACCTCACACAGCTTGGGATCCATACCAACCTCTCATTCTTTCTAGCCACAGCACTTGGCCTCCTCAATTCATGCGGCAGGTAGTTCCAAGGGATAAATCTACTAGGGAAGGAAATTTATTTTCTCCTTTTCAATCAGGGCCCCACTCTGGCTCTGAGGGTTCAAATTAGGCCAGGCAGGCCCAATAAAGCGGCAAATGAGGGAGAAATTTAGGTTAGGAGGAGACCTCTGATTAGATGCAAGCTCATTTGAGAGGCACCAGCCAGGGCTTCCATCAAATCCAGAGACTAGTACCAGGGAAGACTGCAGTGGGAGGTGAGGCAGGGAAGAAAGAGAGAAGGAGAAGCAGGAATTCTGAGACCTAGGAGAACAAGGTGTGGAATAGGGGGTAGCAAGCTAGGGAGTGCTTCGGGAGTGAGAGCAGTGAGGTCAAGGAAGCTGCAGACTGGAGGGCTTGGGGTGGAAGCCGGAGGAGAGGCCAATGTTCCTGCACGGGGTGGTGCAACCGGGGGCAGCGAGTGACTGGACGGTCTGGGTTGGCGTGAGGCCAGCCCAATGCTGTCTGTCCAGAGGGCTTGGAAAGTATCTTGGGGAAGCTGCTTGGTGAGCAGGCCTGAGGGGTGAGTCAAGAAGAGGAAGCTGACTGGGAGCGAGCGTGGGGAGAGAGCCAGGCGGTGACAGGATGCGACCGCTGCGCTGGGGCGCTGGCTGGGGCGCTGGCTGGGCAGTGGGAACCCTCAGAGTGGGAGTACCCCACAATGACCAGTCATACAGGTGATTTCATACCCGAAGCCTGGCCCAGAGCTGACAGCTCGGCCCCAATGGGGGGCCGGAGACAGATCACGGCGAGAACATGGCTTTATTAGATGTTCCCTGGTGGCCACCCAAGGGTCCGACAGAGGCGGGGACCCTGGCACCACACAGAGCCCAGCTGAGAATGAGGCTCTGGGAGCTCCATCCATGCTCTGAGAGGCCCCCTGTGCCCCACTCAGCTCACAAAATAAACAAACAAGTGGGGAAACTGAGGCACAGAGCGATTCAGCACATCTCATTCTAAGCCACTGGACCCCATTCTCCTCCCAACACTGGGGAGTCCTGGCCCCAACCCCTATCCCTGCTCTAACCACCGGACCACACTTCCTTCCCAACGCTGGAAGAGTCCTAGCTTCCACCCCCCACCCTCCCACTCTAACCCACCACATGCCACGGCCCTCCCAGAGTCAGAGGCAGGACCCAGGACTCCTGGCTCCCGGCCCCCATGGACACTCAGCAGAGGTTCCAAGTCCAGCTTGTCACTTTGGTGTCTGGCTCTGGAGCCGTGTGGGGGGGATGAGGGCGGGGCTATTGTTTGGGGGTGGAGCACACAAAATCTACTAGCCTCAGTCCCCCTGGGCTCTGGGGTGTCAGAGGAATGGGGGGAGGGTCTTTCTGCATCTCAGTCAGTGGCCATGTCAATGAGGGTTTGTTCTGTGGCCCCCTGGCTGATTTTTCTGTCGGTCAGCGGCCCCCAACCTGAAAATTTTTTCCCAGCCCTGCATTAGGCAGAGAACCCAGGAGTCACTAACTTCCGTGTTATCCTTCCAAATTACAGAAAGGGAACTAGAATCCTGCCAGGTCTAATCTGAGTAACCATTAGCTTGAGTTGGCACCAAGATGTGTTTTGCTGGTGGCTGGCTGGGCACTAGGCAATCTTCCTGCATCTTGGCAGTGCCAAAGCAGGTGAGGTGGATCTGGAGCAGTTCAGAAGCAGACAAAGATGTGGGGGCAGGTTGGCACATTGGCAATTTGTGCCTGTGAGGGACAGGGACAGAGTCAGGGTTCCCAGATTCAGAAGTTAAAATCTGTGACCCATATAGGGAAGTGCATGAGGGGAGGGGCAAATGTTTGGAGGCATTCGAAGCAGGGGGTTTGTCAGCACTGGCTGCACACCACAGCATCCTCTGTGATCCGCTTGAAGAGGGAGGGAGGGGTGGTGGGAACCCATGAAGGAAAGACCCTCTTCCCTCCCACACCAGGTAGGAGAGCGAAGGGCCCTGCCCTTGCAGTGCTGGGCTGGGAGCAAGTATCCAAACCCTGCCCCCCTCACCTTGTAGAGGGCTGCAGTGATGAGAGCCAGCAGGACCAGGCCTCCCACGCTGCTGCCCACGATGATGGGCAGGTAGTTATAGACCACGAGCTGCTCCACCACTGTGTGCACCTGGGGGGAGGAGCCGTGAGATGGGGACCCAGGACTCCTGCCACCATCTCCCATCTCTGCTCTAAATCCCCCAGACTCTACTTCCTGCCAGAGCAGAGACAGGAGACCTGGCTCCCAGCTCTAACCACTAGCCCATGCTCTCTCTGTCCCGGCACGGTCACTCTGGTACCTGGCGCTGGACAAATCCCTCCTTCTGGGTGTATTTCTTCTCCTCGTATTCAATCCGGGCCTCGCTCACCAGGGTCACTTTCTGCTGCTGAGTCTGGAACAGAGAAACTCCCTGTCCCTGACTGGAAATGACACCGACCCGCCCAGAGCATCACCCCAGGGGTCCCAGAGCAATTGACAGGCCGGTCATACAGGAGCAATCCCTGGCCCAGTGCTGAGATGCAGCCTCCTCTGGGGAGGGCACCAGGGTGTTCACAAGGGCGGGGGTTCACTCAGTTGGGAGGCAGAGGCAGCTCTCGTACCTGGGAGACCCACTGGAAGCCGACATTCCCTTTGATCATGAACTCCAGCGGCTGCTGCATTTCCAGGGAGGCGATTGTGCACCGGATCTTCTTACAGGTGGCCACAGAGCAGTCCTGGGGTGGAAGGATATCGCCGGGTGAGGCAGGGATGTGCAGGGACTTGGCATGGCCATGGGGGTCTGGGTCTGTCTGTAGCAGGAAGCTTTCCCACAGCCCAGCCCCCCAGAAAGGGGCTGCTGGTACCACACTGGCCTGTACTCACCAGCAGGGGGCGCTCGTTCATCTGCTTCAGAAAGTCCTTGGAACCAGATGTTTCTGCCTCACCGGTGCACTGAGCCAGCTGGGGCTAAGCCAGGAGAGAGACATGGAGAGAATGGGGGGGGGCGGCCTCGCCCAGCAGGGGGCGCTGTGGGGCACAGCAGGTGTCATAGGGCCCTTCTCACAAACAGAAGCCCAGGGAGAGGCAGGCACCTTGGAGGGGACGACCTCAGAGGCGTCCCACACACGGACCCCGCTCAGCTCCACGGGGAACTGGAACGTGACCGACAGGGGGACGCTTCGCTGCCGCAGGTTCTTCACCTGGAAGAAACAGACTCCCCCTAGGAACTGCAGGGAGAGAACCCGGCAGCTCTGACCCCCAGGCCCTGGCTCTACCCCTCAGACCCTGCTCCCCTCCCAGAGCTGGGGAGAGAACCCAGGAGTCCTGGCTCCCTGCCCACCCCACCCCTCTGTGCTCTAACCCACTAGATCCAGCTCAGTCAGTCCCACTCCTGCCCCCTCCTCTGAACCCCCGTCGCTCCACCTGCCCCTCACACGCTGTGCGACCGGCCTCACCTCGTACTGATGTGTCACTGGCGCGCTTGTCTCTGCCGCCTTGGCGGAGAAGTTGACGTACTTGGTCGACTCCTCGAGGCTGGGGGAGGAACGAGGGAGATGGGAGTGTGATGGGTGGAGCTGGTGGGTGGCAGTGGGTGTCATGTCCAGCAGGGGGCGCTGTACCACAGGGAACAGGAAGGGGCCCAGCAGGGGGCTCTCTCCCAATGTCTCTGCACTGACCTACCTGGTGAGGATGATGAAGATGCCGTACTTGACCGGCAGCTCTGCCTGGTGACCCATGCGCTCAGTGACGGGGCCGCCGTTGTCACTGGGGGGAGGGGAAGGTAAAGGAGAGATGTGAGGAGATGCAATCGGATAACCTGGCAGAAAGACTGCACTTTAAGCCACTGCCCCTCACAATATTGCCTTCCCCTATGCCTCAAATGCCTGTGCCTCTGCCCTGTGCCACACCGCACTGCCCTGCTTGAAATGCTTCTGCCCTGTGCTGGAAGCCACTGTACTGCACAACACAACACACCTTTGGGTGTGCACCACTGTCCTGCACTGCAGTGTATGTTACTACACAGCACCATATTCTACCGTACAGCACCATAGACCATTGCCCCACGCTGCCTGCAGCCTTTGTTATAGCACTGCACCCGTAACACCTACATCACTGCCACTGCAGTGTATCATATGTCACTGCTCTGGGTTAAGCCCACCACGCCGCCTTGCAGTATAGGCAGTGAGCGGCGCTAAACTCCACTGCACTGAAGTGCACCTGCTGCCAGTGCTGTGGATAATATACCATGGTATGACTCTGCAGGCTACATCCGTGGGCTGCACCATACTCCACTGCTTTGGGTACAGATCACTGCCCCATGCTGAAGTATAGGTCACTGCACTGTGTTATGCCCCCTTTCTTTGAGCACACAGCACTGCACAACACCTCTCAGTGTGCAGTAGCCAGCTTCTACTGCCATACACCAGTGCACGATGTGTCATGGACTGGACCGTATCGGACTGCTCTGCCTGGTTTCATGGCATATGCCACTCTGCAGTGCCGGGCATCACCGAGCGCCACTGCCCTCCGCTCAATGGCACCTTGACCTGCATCGCTCCACTGTTTGACACTGCCTCCTACCATTGCATTTCATTGCGCCATGCACTGCGCTGTGCACAACACATCCCTGCATTACCCTCACAGATCATTGCACTGCACTGCACCATACAGCACTGCAATAGAACACTGCTGATTGCCTTTCACTGGATTCTGCACCATCACACCAACCTGTAACCTGCCCCATGTGTCCCGCATCACACATCAGTACACTGACCTATGCACCATTCCTCACTGCACAGCCCGACCCACCTACCCCTCTGCACTGCTCCCCACACTGCCCTCTGCGGCCTGCCCCCTCACCTGCTGGCGCTGACCATCATCTCCAGCCTGTCCCCCAGGTCGGCCTCAGAGGAGACATCAAAGGTGGCGAGGAAGACGGCCTGGGAAACAGATGTAGGATAAGAGGGAGCCATGCCCCGAGGACGGGCAGGAACAGGCTATTGGTAGGGGCATGCCTACCTCGGCTCCGCTCCAGAAGATGGGGGGGTTGATGTGGCAGGTGCTGTTCCTCTGAGTCTGCTCCTCCGAGCTCACTGCTGAGCTGCACTTAATGGCCATGGTCCTCCTGTTAGACTGAGCACAGGGACCAGCTGGTGAGAGATGGGGCCCAGTGCGCCCCCTGCTGTGCACCCCCTGCTCCCATAGCACAGCACCCACTGCTGATCCCCCTGCCTCCTCTCTGTAGAACAGTGCCCCCTGCTAAGCCCCCCCACCTGCTCGCTCAAGCACAGCACAGCGCCCCCTGCTGGGCCCCAGCCTGCTCTCTGTACCAGCTGATCACCACACACATCCCCTGTATTCTGTCTCTCCTATGTCTGGTGTTTAGAGAGGGTGTGGTACCTGGAGCAGCAGGACCCGGCGGTAGGACAGTGCGGCCGGGTAGAAGAACCGCACTGCGGTGCTGTAGGAATTCTCCCCGCGGTTCTGGATGGAGACGGTGATGTTGAGTTCAGGGGTGACGCCCATCACCAAGGTGCTCATGCTAAGGGGGAACACAAAAGGGTGAGTTTCCTCAGAGCATTGTCCCAGCTTTGCTGTGAGCTTCCATGGGGCACTGCCCAGCAAGGAAAACCAGTGCTGTGAGCTTCCCATAACAGTTCCCAACCCAGATCTCCACACAGCCCTTCATGCCACCAGGGCGGGGGGCTCTAAGGCAGGGGTGTGAGCGTCTGATACAAATTCCCAGCCGGGCACCACAGAGCTGCTCGCTTCCTGGATTGGTGCCCTGTCTAATGCCCCAGGAAATATGGGAAGGTCTGTAGCTGGGTGTTGCAGATCTGAGGCCTGATCAAGCCAGACAGTCCCCACTATGGAAGTCTGTAAACACTTGGCAAGGTGATAGGGAACAGCCAGCATGGAATTGTAAAGAACAAATCATGTCAAACCAGTCTGATAGCTTTCTTTGATAGGATAAGGGAGAAGCGGTGGATGTGGTATACCTAGACTTTAGTAAGGCGTTTGATAAGGTCTTGCATGATGTATCTTGCAAATCAGTATCTTAGATGCCTATATACAAATGCGAGAAGTATGGGTAATAAGCAGGAAGAACTGGAATTGCTAACCAATAAATACAACTATGATATCATTGGTATTACAGAAACCTGGTGGGATGGGACGCATGATTGGAATGTTGGTATGGAAGGGTACGGCTTGCTCAGGAAGGACAGACAGGGAAAAAAGGGAGGAGGGGTTGCCTTGTATATTAAAAATGTACACACTTGGACTGAAGTGGAGATGAATGTAGGAGATAGCTGTGTAGAGAGTCTCTGGGTTAAGCTAAAAGGGGTAAAAAACGAGGGTGATATCATGCTAGGAGTCTACTACAGGCCACCTAGCCAGGTGGAAGAGGTGGATGAGGCCTTTTTTAAACAATTAACAAAACTATCCAAAGCCCAAGATTTGGTGGTGATGGGAGACTTCAACTATCCAGACATATGTTGGGAAACTAACACAGCGAGGCACAGGCTATCCAATAAGTTTCTGGACTGCATTGGAGACAACTTTCTGTTTCAGAAGGTTGAAAAAGCTACCAGAGGAGAAGCTGTTCTGGATTTGGTTTTAACAAATAGGGAGGAACTAGTTGAGAACTTGAAAGTGGAAGACAGTATAGGGGACAGTGATCACGAAATAATAGAGTTCATGATCTTAAGGAAAGGTAGAAGGGAGACCAGCACAATTGAGGTAATGGATTTCAGGAAGGCAGATTTTGATAAGCTCAGAGAACTTGTAGGTAAGGTCCCATGGGAAGCAAGACTGAAGGGAAAAACAACTGAGGAGAGTTGGAAGTATTTCAAAGGGACGTTGTTAAGGGCCCAAAAGCAAACAATTCCGCTGTGTAGGAAAGATAGAAAATATGGCAAAAGACCAGCTTGGCTTAACAAGGAGATCTTGCACGATCTCAAAATAAAAAAGGAGTCATATAAAAAATGGAAACTAGGACAACTAACAAAGGATGAATATAGGCAAGCAACACGGGAATGCAGGGGCAAGATTAGAAAGGCAAAGGCACAAAATGAGATCAAACTAGCTACAGGCATAAAGGGAAACAAGAAGACCTTTTATAAATACATTAAAAGCAAGAGGAAGACCAAGGACAGGGTAGGCCCACTGCTTAGCGAGGAGGGAGAAGCAGTAACAGGGAACTTGGAAATGGCGGAGATGCTCAATGACTTCTTTGTTTCGGTCTTCACCGAGAAGTCTGGAGGTGTGCCTAACGTAGTGAATACAAGCAGAGAGAGGGTAAGTTTAGAAGATAGGATACACAAAGAACAAGTTAAAAATCACTTAGGAAAGTTAGATGTCAGCAAGTCACCAGGTCCTGATGAAATGCATCCCAGGATACTCAAGGAGCTGATAGAGGAGGTATCTGAGCCTTTAGCTATGATCTTTGAAAAATCATGGCAGACAGGGGAGATTCCAGAAGACTGGAAAAGGGCAAATATTGTGCCCATCTATAAAAAGGGGAATAAGAACAACCCAGGAAACTACAGACCGGTCAGTTTAACGTCTGTCCCAGGGAAGATAATGGAGCAGGTAATTAAGGAAATCATATGCAAACACTTGGAAGGTAATAAAGTGATAGGGAATAGCCAGCATGGGTTTGTGAAGAACAAGTCATGCCAAACTAATCTGATAGCTTTCTTTGATAAGATAACGAGCCTTGTGGATAAGGGAGAAGCGGTGGATGTCATATACCTAGACTTTAGTAAGGCATTTGATACGGTCTCGCATGATATTCTTATTGATAAACTAGGCAAATATAACTTAGATAGGGCCACGATAAGGTGGGTGCATAATTGGCTGGATAACCGTAGTCAGAGAGTTGTTGTTAACGGTTCTAAATCCTGCTGGAAAGGGATAACAAGTGGAGTTCCTCAAGGGTCTGTTTTGGGACCCATACTGTTCAACATCTTCATCAATGATGTAGATATTGGGATAGAGAGTACGCTTATTAAGTTTGCAGATGATACCAAACTGGGTGGGGTTGCAACTTCTTTGGAGGATAGGGACATAATTCAAAATGACCTTAGCAAGTTAGAGAAATGGTCAGAGGTAAACAGGATGAGGTTTAATAAAGAGAAATGCAAAGTGCTCCACTTAGGAAGGAACAATCAGTTCCATACATACAAGATGGGAAGCGACTGTCTAGGAAGGAGCATGGCAGAAAGGGATCTAGGGGTCATAGTGGACCACAAGTTGAATATGAGTCAACAGTGTGATGCTGTTGCAAAAAAAGCAAATATGATTCTAGGTTGTATCAACAGGTGTGTTGTAAGCAAAACTCGTGAAGTCATTCTGCCGCTCTACTCTGCACTAGTTAGGCCTCAGCTGGAGTACTGTGTCCAGTTCTGGGCGCCACATTTCAAGAAAGATGTGGAGAAATTGGAAAGGGTACAGAGAAGAGCAACAAGAATGATTAAAGGTTTAGAGAACATGACCTATGAAGCCAGGCTTCATGAACTGGGCTTGTTTAGTTTGGAAAAAAGAAGATTAAGGGGGGACATGATAGCGGTTTTCAAATATCTAAAAGGGTGTCACAAGGAGGAAGGAGAAAATTTGTTCCTCTTGGTTTCTGAGGACAGGACAAGGAGTAATGGGCTTAAAGTGCAGCAGGGGAGGTTTAGATTGGACATTAGGAAAAAATTCCTAACTGTCAGGGTGGTCAAATATTGGAATAAATTGCCAAGGGAGGTGGTGGAATCTCCCTCTCTGGAGATATTTAAGAACAGGTTAGATAGACATCTGTCAGGGATGGTGTAGACAGAGCTTGATCCTGCCTTGAGGGCGGGGGGCTGGACTCGATGACCTCTTGAGGTCCCTTCCAGTCCTATTATTCTATGATTCTATGAAAAGCATGAGTGGCGTGGAGAGGGTGCATAAAGAAAAGTTCTTCTAGACGGAGCTTGATCCTGCCTTGAGGGCGGGGGGCTGGACTCGATGACCTCTCGAGGTCCCTTCCAGTCCTATTATTCTATGATTCTATGATTCTATGATTCTATGTTCTTATCAATAAACTAGGCAAATACAACTTAGATGGGGCTACTATAAGGTGGGTGCATAACTGGCTGGATAACCGTACTCAGGGTATGTCTACACTACCCCCCTAGTTCGAACTAGGGGGGTAATGTAGTCATTCGGAGATGCAAATGAAGCCCGGGATTTGAATTTCCCGGGCTTCATTTGCATGATGCCGGCCGGCGCCATTTTTAAATGCCGGCTAGTTTGGACCCCGTGCCGCGTGGCATTTAAAAATGGCAGCATGCGTGGGGCATGTCACGCTCGCAGCTCCGCCGAGATTGGCTGATGTGCCATGACATCATGGTTCCGGGGCTGCCTCGCTGCCTTCCCTCGGCACCAGGGAGAAAAGTGTGCCCTCTAGTTAGCACGAGAGGGTGTTGTAGTGGGGCGGGGCGGGCCAGACAGGAGCACTGGCCATGCTCCGCTCCAGTTGCCTTCCCGGCACAGCTGCTGCTGTGCAACACCTAGTGGCAGTGGAGCGGGAAATACCCCAGGGAGCCTCCCATTCATGAAGCAGACTCTGGCACCCAGGGATTGTTCATGCTCCTCTGACTGGCACCAGCCAGTGCTGCCCGATGTGCAGGGGGGTTCACCATGGGCTTTGAGAACAGCAGCTGCGCTGCAGTGCTATGGCCCTGGTGGGCAACCTGCTCTCCCCGGGCTGTGTGGGGCAGGCTGCACAGAGCGATCCGGGGCCGGGTGAGGGGCAGTCCAGGTCACTGCAGCCAGGGACCGCCCTGCGAGCTAGGTGCCTTTGGTCATCTCTCCACTTGCCTTGCACTTACTAGTGACACTTCCTGCCAGAGCAGGCGCCCTTGGCCAAGGAGTTTGCAGGAGTGTGTGTGTAGGAGGGGCGTGTTAGTAAACATTGGCAAATGGGGGGTGACTCTCTCCCCCTTTTCTCTGCCTCAGCACTGGGCGCGGAGGGAGGGGAGAGCTGCAGCATTGGTGGGGCCGGGCAGAAGGATGATTCAAGCAAAGGTGCCTGAAGGGAGGGGAGAGCTACTTTGCAGCCCGATCTGGTTGGTCTGGTGGTGAGGAGCCGCTGGAGGGGGCCTCGCCTGCCCCAGCTCAGAGATTTGGGGGGGCAGGGAGGGAGAGAGGTGTCCGCTGGCCTTGTCCTTTATTTTTCCTGGCTGTGTCCGCGCACATTCCCTGGGGGACCCATGCCACTTTCACGCCTCTGCCAGGGCGCTCCGAAGTTTCTGCACATGCTGGGAGGAGGGGACACGAGGGTTTGGCGGGGAGAGGGAAAGGAGATGGAGTTCGGTCAGTGGGGGGAAGTTGGAGAGGGGAGCAGACTGGGTCCTTGGGGGGGGATCGGGTTTGGCTGGGAGAGAAGAGAGGGCACAGGGTGGATCAGGCGGTGGACAGAAGGGGGCAGACTGCATCTGGTCACTGAGGAGTAGAGTTTGCCTGGGATGGGAAAGGAGGTGGAAATTAGGTTCAGTGAGTGGGGGGGGGGGGGGGGGGGGGGGGGGG